CTGAATAACTGATAAAGTATCATATTGTCTTTCAGTCTCAAAGAGTTCTTCAAAGAATTGTTGATAATCATTAATACCATAATAATTCAGAATATATGAGTTGACATATTTCATGTCGTATCCTGGTCTATTATTAATAAGTTTTTGCAATTTAGCTTTTTTATCAATAATAGTGGGGATAATAAGACATGGCATATTTAATGATTTAATAGACTTATGGTTCTTTAGCGATTATACGAGTCTTATAGACCTATTAGATTTTATTAACTATATACTAATGAATTGTGATATTCATTTTTTTGAGTACTCAAAATATACAAAAAAGCAAACTGATTATAATCTAATGCTAATTATTTTTTGTATTTCGCGGGTAGACCTCTTCTTGCAGGCTCAAGATCTTAAATAAGTTGAAATAAATATAAATATTGAGTTCGGTAAATGATTATAAATAATTTTAACATAACAATTACACTTACCAAGATAGCTTCGTCTTGAATTTTTAATCTTTGAAGATCGTGAACCCGACTTTGTAGATTTAGAATATTTCTTATTATATATGGCACGTTTTTTTGTTACCCTAAGTTTTTTGCCACTATTATTTATACCAACATCAATATCACAATCAGAATTATCCTAATCTGTATTATGAAATAAAGTTCTGAATTTTCTATTTTTCTTGATTGATGTTGTATGTATAAAAAAGACGACACTGTGACGAACACCAGAAATAACAGGAAGATTGTCATGGACCAAAATATTTGATCTAAAAGCAATGGCCTGGCCTTGTTTTGCATAAATAATTAACTTTAACTCTGGAAATACCAACTGCCCGCCTTCAAATGATCCAAGTGGACACACCACACAAAGTGTATTTCGGTGGTCTTTTAAATCACGATGAAATTGACTAATAACATTGAAGTTGATCGCGATTGTTGAGAAAGCACCGAAAGACTTAGGAACATTTGGCCCAAGATTGAGCTTTGCCATTTTTGTATATAGAGCCAGATAAGTTTCCTGAAAATAACTATTAACCTCATTAGATAGTGGTTGAAGTCCACTAATCAACTCCCGAACACATTTCTGATGTTCTGAGCAATGGTTCGATGCTGTGTTTGCAGTTGTATAGGGCTCATTGTTATTACCTGTGAAGGCTCCAAAATGCTCCACTAATTCTTTTTTAAATTCCTTTGATTGATGTTTTTTATTATTGATATTGTGATTATAATATTGATTTACTACCATCCTTGTATCTTCAATGAGCATTGTATTGGGTAGGTCAAAAAAATCTACTATGGTTTCACTGAAAGAATTCTTGAAGCATTGTGGATTGAAGACATGGTAGTAGCCTTCAAATTTATTACCGATAGCTACATCC